TATGTTTTTGTTTTTCTTTGCAGTAGTTATTTCGATTACATTGTTAATATTTATGATTTTGTATTGGCAGATCATGCGTTTCTTTACCAATCCACGGAAGCCTATGATACTTGCCCTTGCCAGGGCAGACCCTAAAAAGAATATTACGACCTTAGTCAAAGCATTTGGAGAGTGTCGCCCACTGAGGGAACTTGCTAACCTTGTATGTTCAAATTTTTTAACTTTACCTTTCTACCATCTATTTCATAACTCCTGAAAAATCGGCGAGTCTTCCTTTATTCATTCAAATTTTTAAAAAAAGTGTTTTAAGAATGTTTTATTCAGTTACTCTCTCATTTTCTGTCATGACAGACGCTGATAATGGGAAACCGTGATGATATTGATGAAATGTCCAGCACAAATGCCTCCGTGCTTCTTTCCATTCTTAAGCTGATTGACAGATACGATCTTTATGGCCATGTGGCATATCCAAAACACCACAAGCAGTCTGATGTTCCTGACATTTATCGTCTGGCAGCAAAAACAAAGGTACTTTTATTTCTTAATAGTAGTATTACAACTAGTTGAACCACTTGCAGTTCCTCAAAGAATATAACAGTACCAAATAACTCAACTAGTGCCTGCTGTGTGCAGTTTTCTTTTAGGTATATGCTTAGTCTGGCTCAGAGTCGTACTAAGTTCAAGTTAGAACCAAATTTGGCTAGGCATGATTTTTGAGTTGAAGTTAGACTTAACTCTTCTGCTCAAGAAATCTGAGGTTATTTAATGTTGAAATCAATCCTGACTCTGATCAACTGGTGGAGCTTTTTAATTTCCTATAATGAAGAACTAAAGATCAAAAGCTCTTTTTAACTTGGCACCTGTATAATGCCTCAGAGGAAGGGGAATTCATAATGAATACCTTGGTTATAAATTATAATGAATCTTTGTTCTGTGGCGTAAATGGTACAGTAAACTTTCCAGTTTCAATACTTTTAGTTTTGACATAGAATAATATCTTTTAGGGCTATTCATTTTCACTTGGAAATCCATTTTGACGTGATATTCAGCTCTTGGACCAAGAAAAGTTGTATGGCTCAAGTTAGTACATATGATGCGGGCTCTCTTTTGCAGGGTGTTTTCATCAATCCAGCTTTCATTGAGCCATTTGGACTTACTTTAATTGAGGTACATGTCTCTACCTTATCAGAGGAATGCATGTTAAATGTTAATTGTTATAAAATCCGACACAAGATCCTTTGTTGAATAGGCAGCAGCTTATGGTCTACCTATTGTTGCCACACAAAATGGGGGTCCTGTTGATATTCATCGGGTATGTCTGTCCTGGAGCACATTCCTATTCAATTGAAAGATTCTCTCATTTGCTTAGTGGAGCTGTCTTAAATGTTCAATACTATTATTAATACTGACTACAGAGTGCAAACAACTGAATTGCCACAGGTTCTTGACAATGGTCTACTAGTTGACCCCCACGATCAGCAGTCCATTGCAGATGCCCTTCTGAAGCTTGTTTCGGATAAGCAACTTTGGGCAAGATGCAGGCAGAATGGACTGAAAAACATTCACCTTTTCTCATGGCCAGAGCATTGCAAAACATACTTATCTCGCATAACCAGTTGCAAACCAAGGCAGCCACAATGGCAAAGAAGTGATGCTGAATTTGACAATTCAGATTCAGATTCACCTAGCGACTCTTTGAGGGATATACAAGATATATCTTTGAACTTGAAGCTCTCATTGGATGGTGACAAAACTGAAGGGACTGGTGCTCTTGATAATGCTTTAGAGTCTGTTGAACGTGACGCTGGAGGGAAGATTAAGGAGCAGAATACTGTTTTGACATTGTCAAAAGGTGTCTTACGGGGAAGTCCAAAGGCTGGCCTGGCAGAGAAAGAAGACAATAATTCTGGGGCTGGTAAATTTCCAGGGTTCAGGAAAAAGAAGTATGTATGTGTTATTGCTGTGGATTGTGATACAACATCAGAGTTTACTGAGATCATTGAGAAGGTTGTTGAGGCAGCAGGGAAGGACAAGGATGCAGGATCTGTAGGATTTATACTGTCAACAGCCTTGGCCATATCTGAGATACATTCTCTTTTGATCTCGGGGGGTTTGAGTCCGTCTCAGTTCGATGCTTTTATCTGTAACAGTGGCGGTGAGCTCTACTATCCATCTTCAAGCTCTGACGATAGTCCTTCTGGGCTTCCCTTTGTGGTGGATTTAGATTACCGTTCACACATTGAATATCGTTGGGGTGGAGAATGTTTGAGAAAGACATTGGTTCGTTGGGTTGCTTCTTTCAATGAAAAAAAAGGAGGGCAAACTGTTACAGAAGACAGATCAGGATCAACTAACCATTGCTATGCCTACAAAGTGAAAGATCTGGCATTGGTAATATCTCTTTCCGTTTCATTCATGAAAATCTCCTTTGAAAAAAAAGTGATATTTCCTCATCAACCCTCCATGTGCTTTCTGTGTGTCTTTGTGTCAAGGGTACCTTATTAAACTAGCTTGATATTTAGTGTTGCAAATTACATTTTACTACCTTATTACTTTCAGGTTCCTTGCTTCATAAGAACTGCTTCTTTATTTCTTGCTTTTAAATTACTTGAGATGTCTATTATGTCATGACAGATTCCCCCTGTTAAGGAACTCCGGAAACTCATGAGAATTCAGGGTCTCCGTTGCCACGTTATATATTCTCAAAATGGTACCAGGCTGAATGTTATCCCTGTTTTGGCTTCTAGATCACAAGCTCTCAGGTACGAATGCAGATACCATTTTGTTTCCCCAGTTTTTAGCCAGCAAATTATCTCTGCTGTTTATTACTTTTATATTATTAGAAATTGATTCAAACCACTGGCTCTACAGGCTATTAATTTGTTCACAACTTTCAAATTTTATTTTGTCCTCCTAATTAATTGCCCCGTATACTGAGATAAGTCTAAATATTAACTACGAAAGGAGACTCACTCTGGACTTGATAATAACAAAAAAACAGAGATCTTTGCCCAATGATGTATGAAAACAGAATGAAAGCTCATTACTTATATGCATCCCTTCGAATCCATTATATCCTATTTCTCTCCTCTGTATCTTACACTGCCTCGTCTCTCTAAGGATTAGATAGCAATTGTAGTGTCTACGTCTCTTTTGTATCGCTAATATTTGGTCTCCAGGTATCTGTATGTCCGTTGGGGCTTGAACTTGTCAACCGCTGTTGTCTTTGTGGGAGAATCTGGGGACACGGATTATGAAGGCTTGCTTGGTGGGTTACACAGAACTGTCATACTGAAGGGAGTCAGTTGCGGTGCTCGTAAGCTTCATGCCAACAGAAACTATTCTTTAGAAGACGTATTCCCAAATGACAGTCCCAATATGACTCAAAGTGAAGGATGCTCCCAAGAAAACATAAGAGCATCGCTGTCGAAACTAGGGATTCTCAAGCGGTAGAACAACCCCAGCTCATGCACTTTCAGTGATAGATTCCACATTCTCTTTAACCGGCCTTCTTGAACTGCAAATCACATGACGTCCCTCGAAAATTTCTTCTTTACAGTACTTGTATTGTTGGCATTTTTGCAACATGAGCAATTTGGATGCTCTGCTTTTTAGCGTGACCCTTCTCTGCTAGGGATCAAGCCACTTGTTTTAATTTTCTAGTTTTGTTCAACAGCAAAGGTGGTGTTGCTGTTCTCTATGGTTGTATAAGTGGAGAACTGACCTTCATTGTTGCATATTCTCATTATGTAGATGTCTCTCTTATATTTAACTATGTTTTTTGCAATCATTAAGATCTTTTCTGTTACATGTGACGATAACTCGGGTCGACGCGGTTAGCCATAGCTTTGCTCTTAAACTTACTTTTGATCCTTTTGATATTCTTCTAAAACAGGCTCTATGTATAGGCTAATCTTTGTTTTACTACCTTAATTATCACTTTAATGCCAAGGCCACCCTAGACTCTGGGGCTGCAGATCCTTTTGTTTGCACCCTCGAAGGAAATCCCTTTTGATCTTGTCAATTTCACTGAGGACATGGCCAGGCTGTTTGGTTGCTCAATAGCATAATTGGGCACATCTAGGATTACTTTCTCACACCATTAATGTTTCACATTCCCAAAAATTGATAATAATTGTTCAAGATCTCAATCAAGGTATTTTTTTTCTTTTCTTTTTTTTCCTAAGAAAATCTCAACAAATACAACATTTTTCTTTTTCTTTTTCATCCTACACAGTACAATGTATGATGATGACTCACCGGAAATATAAAGGCCAACTCCAATACAAAATCCTTTTGAAATCAAACTAAGCGCCTAACAACTCCATCAATATTTATCCCAAAAAAGGAAAAAAATCATATTAATTATCCCACAAAAGAAACTAACCAAATATCCAGCTTTTTAGTCATTGCTGAAAGACTCATACTCATAGCAAAACACTCAACTTCAACTTCTCCTTCTTTTCTTTCTTTTCCTTTTCCTTTTTCCCTCTAAATAGAACAATAATTAAAAGGAGGGCAGTGTGTGCAGCTAGCCAGATTGTTTGGCCATGGCTGGCTCTGGTTGCACCCAAACTTGTTTGATATACCCTTCTCTTTTTCTCATCCTCGTCTTCTCTTTCATAAACCCCCATTTCCACTTTTTCCCATTTCCATACAAGTCCAGTGACTGCAACAACGATCTCTACAATGCCACCAGAAATAGTGCTACTCATAATGTGCCTCCTGTAAGTTACACAACTTGCATATATTGATCACATTCTTTGCGTTTGGCTCATTTTGAAAGAGAAACAAGCAAAAGAAGAGAGAGAGAGAGAGAGAGAGAGAGAGTAAGATCATTTCTAGGATATGGGCTTATGGTGCTTTATTGTGTCTCATGGCAACAAAAAGGGTTTAGGATATGGGCTTTTGGTGCTTTGTTGTGTCTCATGGCAACAACAACAAAAAAAAAGATTTTTTTATATTTTTTATGGGTTTTGAATTTTGTTTTTCATATGCAGATGCAAGTGAGGAAGAACGTTAACCAATTTGAGAAAATGGAAGATGGGTTGACTAGAGCAAGAGCTGCAATACGAGAAGCCGCTCGATCAAGAAGCTACACATCGTACAAAGAGGAGGCTTTTGTTCCCAGAGGATCGGTTTACATCAACCCTTATTCCTTTCATCAGTTAAGATTTTCTTATCCTATACTTCTCTTTGGTTAGACTTGGTCTTTGTTTTTTCAGACCATTTTTGGGTCAAATTCATCCGAGTAATTCTGAGTCAGTGTGTGCCAACTCGCTTACCAAGCAGTTGCTATATGATAATGTTTATTTTTCTATTCCTGAAAATGTTCCATTTAGCTAATACATTACGTCTAAATCATTTAAACCCAGGAGAATCCCTTTTGTGGTTTTTTTTTCGTTGGTTGAAAATGAAATGACTTTAATGGAATTAATTTCCAACTTTCCCTGCAAATGAAATAATGATCCGTTTTTGTAACCAAAAAAAATAGTGACCCGGTTTTCATTTAAAATACACATATTTTAGGGCATTTTCTTTACATATGATAATTTAGGCAAGATATTGATTTAGATATCAACCAGTTTGCCCCAAAAGCTTAAGCTGTTAGAAAATGAGCTAACAATGTATATTTTGTAGTTTATATATGATCTATGAGCAACGGCAAAAAGTCAGTGTCACGTTATGGGCATCCCAAGGCGCCTTGTTTAATTGTTTGGGTTTTATAGAAACATAGCATGGGTGATGTAGTGGTGCACCATAGGCATTGAGTGAATGAGTTTTGCCTCTTCTGTGCTTACGCAAACCCTTATATTCTTCATCTAGTTCTGAGAATTGTGCGCTCTAGTATTCTGATTTATGGTCTCCCATCCGCAGGCATTTAAGAATATAGTACCCTTAACTAAGTAAGTTTCCTGATGGAGAAAACATATATACATAGCAAAAAATGGGTGCATTTGTAATATTTACGTGCATGTGACTAAGCATGCGCCCATCAACATGCAAAACTAGTAGGCTTTGGTAGCTGTAGACTCTATGGATTCAAGGGCAGGCACCAAAATGGCAATCGGCACCATTAATTTTTGCCCTGTAGTGTCTTATGTAGGTTATGCCTTTTCTAAGAAAAAGTTGACAATTACATTCTGAAATTCGCAGAAGGAATAATGAATGAACTAAAAGGACCACATTTCAAGCTCATAATGTTTATTTACTCAAACGTATAATAAATCATTATTATGAACAGGAGCCACATAGAGATGGAGAAGAGATTTCGAATTTGGACATACAAAGAAGGAGAGCCACCACTCTTCCAAGAGGGGCCAATGAACGACATTTACTCCATTGAAGGACAATTCATGGACGAGTTGAGCGGAGAGAGCCCATTTTCTGCAAAAGACCCCGATGAGGCCCTCGCATTCTTTCTTCCCGTCAGTGTCGTCAACATTGTGAGATATGTCTACAGGCCTTACACCACCTACTCTCGCGTCCGGCTTCAGAACGTTATTGAGGACTTCATTGGCATCGTATCGAAGAGATACCCTTATTGGAAGAGAAGCAACGGGGCTGACCATTTTTTGGTTTCTTGTCATGATTGGGTATGTCACTTTTTGAAAATTAATAACAACCTGATAATCAATAAACCTATCTGTACTATATTTACTGATTATAACTATTATATACGTCTAAAGTGTCTCGATGAGTAAATATGATACATGTAAAATTACTCGAATATAATTGTCACATGTTTATTCAATGATTCTCCTTGATTATTTGATAACATTTTCAGGCACCTGATATTTCAGCTGGCCACCCAGAGCTTTTCAAGAACTTCATTAGAGTACTCTGCAATGCCAACTCTTCAGAAGGTTTCCGGCCTGTCCGAGACGTCTCCCTGCCCGAAATCAATATCCCTTTCGGAGACTTAGGCCCTCCCCTCCTCACCCATCCCCCTAGAAACCGTTCAATATTTGCTTTCTTCGCAGGCGGCGATCACGGGAATGTAAGAAAGCTGCTATTCAAGCATTGGAAAAACAAAGACACGGAAATCCAAGTCTATGATTACCTTCCCAAAACCCTAAACTACACACAGCTAATGGCGGAAAGCAAGTTTTGCATGTGCCCTAGTGGGTGGGAAGTTGCGAGCCCTAGAGTGGTTGAGGCCATATACGCAGGCTGTGTCCCAGTGATCATTTCTGACTCTTATGTGCTGCCATTTAGTGATGTGCTTGACTGGTCTAAGTTTTCTGTTCACGTGCCGGTGGCAAGGATACGGGAGCTGAAGGCAATTCTGCAAACAGTGTCTGTGCATGAGTATTTGAGAAAGCAAAAGAGGGTCATGCAAGTACAGCGCCATTTTGTGCTCAATAGGCCTGCCAAGCCTTTCGATTTGTTGCATATGGTGATGCACTCAGTTTGGCTCAGGAGGCTTAATGTGAGGTTGCTGAGGTGATGCCAAGATGGGGGTTTTTGTGTACAATTGTGCTTTTTGTTTTTCCCTATTGATCTTGAAGATTAATGTATAGGATATTGTAGCCAGAATTTGTGTTAATTAAGGCATGTTTGATAACCATTTCAACTTTAGTTTTTAGTTTTCATTTTTTATTTTTTATTTTTCATTCTAGAGTATAGAGGAAAATAAGAGTGAGGATGAGATTGAGAGAGAGGATGAGACGGGAGGATAAGAGGGAGAAGTAACAAAAGTGAAAACAAAATCTTGAAAGTGAAAACAATGTGAAATAGATTTTAGTTTTTAGTTTTAGTTTTCACTTTTGTTACTCCTCCCTCTCATCCTCTTCTCTCATCTTCCCTCTCAATCTCATCTCCACTCTCATTCTCACTTCCATTCTCCTTTTTCCTCCATACTCTAGCACAAAAAATGAAAAATGAAAACCAAAAACTAAAATTGAAATGGTTATCAAACGGACACCAAGTAAATAAAATTTGTATTATTTTAGAAACAAGCTATGCTGAGATATATGTGTTAGTCAAATAGGCTTCTTTTTTCTTAGTAACCTTACATGCTAATATACTATAATTATAATCAAAATGATATCATTTTACTGTTTAATTTTTAGAGTTTAAATTAAGAAGATAAGTAAACGGCGATTTTGAATGAGGTATTTTTGGATTTAAGCACAATGTATTAATGATCTTAATTAAGTTTTGATATCAGATATGTCATCAAGTAGCTCTTTATTTAACAGTATTTCTCTTCTAAATAATAAAGGAGGCCCCAAATTCGAATCCCCTCTTGGTATGTGTGAACCGTTGATTCAATAGATCCCACTCCATCAATTATCAGTTTGGTAATTGGGATTTTCATTTTTATTTTTTCATTTGGGAAATGTAATAAATTAAAGAGAAATGAATAAGTGTACAAAATTGGGATTTTGGAGGGAAAATTAGTTATGAAGCGCTCGAAACAACCATGACTTTGTAGACTTGTAGTCACGTGAACCGTTGCCCCTATAGGCTTTAGGACATGATCGGCTTTCTCACTGGCTCACGCCCCATACTATAACCATAGAGGGTCAAATCGGTCATTCCACTATCTCCTCACACCGTCGCACACTTTTAACTCCTCACTCACGCCTTCAAATTTTCTCTGTCCTAGAGCCATAACACAGAGAAACAGAGAGAGCGTAATCTTCCCAGGAAAAGAGAATCGCAGCAACCAAACAGTCTATTTCATTTCTCTAGATAGAAAATTTTTACACTAAAACAGTGTTTTGAGATGGGGAGCCTGAGCTTCCATGTACAATACTCCTCGGCATGTGTGCTGCTCTCACTCTGCATTGCGTCGATCATCGCCGTTTCAATGATCTGCGGCCATCATTTCGATCGTTCGGTGAGAATCTCCGGTGCGGAACTATATCAGTACGGTCCAGTTTCGATTCCATTGGTTGAGCTCCGAAGCAAGGTCATTGCCGCCTCCGATGATCACCTCATCAACTCCAATGCCAATCGCTCGAGTCATCTTCATCATCACCTTCACATCAACGAGCTCGTGAATCAAACTGTACTTGTAAGCTCGATCGTCAATTTCACATCAATTTTCCATCCAAGAATTCGAACCGCCATTCCATTTGAAGTTTCTATTCATTTTAGCTAGCTCTGTCTTCTTTTAGTTTTTTTGTTGTTTATAAAAAATTCCCGTATATTTCTATTCTACTGTAATTTTATTTACTTTTAACCTTTTTCGTTGTTGCTGAAATTAATGATCGATTGATGCAGAAGAAAATCCCCAAACCGAAAGCGAGCAGAGAGCAAGATCTGGAACAGGGCCTCGCGCGAGCGCGAGCTTCGATTCGCCGGACAGTCCGGAGCCCAAACCGTTCGTCAACATTCGACGACGACGTTTCGTTTCCCGGTGGATCAGTTGTGTATCGTAACCCCGGCGCATTTTATCAGTAAGCCTACCTAAGCCACCTGTTTAATTGGTTTCGTTCCCGTTTTCTTTTTCCGGTCAACATTTAAGAACTGGACAAAATTGGAAAATTAAGCGTCAGATTATTAAAAGCTGTTGACTTGCATGCTTTGCTTGAAAGGCACCGTTTTGAGTGTGCACTCATTTCTGCTCTGCCGTAGCCCACACTCACACTCTCGGATACTTGATTGCTTCTGAAAAAGCGCAGTGATGAACCGGGCAAGAGGAGTATTTACTTCTGGGTGGGGCTTTCCTTTAATATTTATTATGCATGCTAATTATTTTTTAATTATTTTTGTTTTAGACATAATTAAACCAATAATCTTAGAGACACCAACTTAACCCGGTCACACGAACCGGCTCCATAAGTCGTAAGCCTCACAAAGTCGGCAGGAGTAAATATATGAAACGGGCATAACACTATTGTGCTATTTTCGGCCAATCACAATATGCCACGCGTGATAAGTTTTTTACCGGATAATTTGTGATTAGTCAGAAATAACAAAACAGTGCTTTTCCTACCACCTAAACAACTACTATTAGAAGTTGACATTTTGAAGTCTATTTACTCAAATTAAATAGTAAAATGGAGTATGTTGATTATAACATAAAGCCACTCATCGATCCAATCAAATGGGTTCACTATATTGTGCTAAGCTAATTAGACTTAGTGGCCCATGTGGCGGCTTCGATTGGAAGAAGAGTGGTGGAATTCTGACTGTCTCCCATGCCCTCATCTCTGATGGTGGCTTGCGCTTGAGCTATAGTGCGGTCAAGGTCTTTCCCGTGTACTTTTGTTGTTTCTTGGCTTTTGCCTGCCCGTGTCTTTTGGGTTTCTATCTAAAGCAATTTTCGACCCAAAAAAAAAAAATTGGCTTAGTCATTCAATAAGATTTTACTATGCATAATTACATATGCAGTATAATCAAATGTGTTAGCACTTTGATTTTTTTTTTTAAATAAAAAAATTGTGTTAGCACTTTATTGTGCTGATTAATCAGTAATAGTAATCTTTATTTTCGAGCCATAATTATAATGTAATCGATACATTCATTTATGATTATGCCATGATTGATGACTAGGAATGGGATTTAATTAACTCCGATGTTGCTTGCAGTCTTAATTAGGAGCTACCTTTGTATTCATTAGTACAACGTGAATTGACATATATACCCTTCTCCATTTTTCTTTTCCATAATGTATGCGTCCACTGCAATTGATTTGCAGGAGCTACCTTGAAATGGAGAAGAAATTCAAGGTTTATGTGTACACAGAGGGGGACCCACCAATGGCACACGATGGGCCATGCAAGGACATATACTCCATTGAAGGGAGGTTCATGCACGAAATGGAGAATGGGGCAGCGGGCAGGAGGTTCAAGACCAAGAGCCCCAAAAGAGCTCATGTTTACTTCATGCCCTTCAGTGTGACTTGGATGGTAAAGTACCTCTACAAGCCCTTCACCTACAACCTCACCCCTTTGAGGGACTTTGTGGCCGATTACGTGAGAGTAATCTCTACGAGACACCCCTTTTGGAATAGGACTCATGGGGCAGACCACTTCATGCTTTCTTGTCATGATTGGGTCAGTTCTCTCTCTCTCTCTCTCTCTCTCTCTCTCTCTCTCTCTCTCATGACTTTGAGTTTCTGCCTTTTGATTAATTTCTTTTTGCTTCTGTTTTGGTGATCACAACTTTCTTGGCATGCTTGGATTGATAATTTTGGGTAGGTATATAGTGAGGTTCCAATTTGGGGCCTCAGGAAAGCTTTTAAAATTGGACATATATAATATCTTTGCACAAAAAGGATAACTGCTCATTCTTGGTATACCCTTCCCACCTCACATTATCACAGGTAACTTAAATATACTGAAAATAACATGTGGAATAGATATATCAATTGGTCAGGGTAAGCTTCTAAACCCTAATGTAATCGCTTTCTTGCATTTAAGTTTGAATTTCTCTTTTTGTTGATTAGAACACTTTAGTAGTTTAGACTATCAAAATTATTATTTAAAACTAAAAAAAGAATTTTTGAATACCAATTAACTCTTAAAAAGAACCCCCAGGTATTTTTGTTGGTAATGTTCTAATGTCTCAAAAGTTAAAATTCCTCCCTTCTTGATTGAACAAAAACTAAAAAAATTTAATTTATAGCCAATTTGGTAGGTGACAGTTGAAAGTTTCAAAATTCAATTTTGATTTGATACGATTGAAAATCAAGTTGAACAACATTGAAGTTCAAAAGACTTGCATGTGGGGAGGGATATGAATTTCAAGACTCTGAAACTTTTAAGCAAACTATATTTTTTTTTTCCTTCCTTTGAATTGTAATAGAATTTTCAATTATTTCAGGCTCCACATGCATCAGCTGGTAACCAATTTCTCTACAACACATCAATCCGAGTCCTCTGCAATGCCAACACCTCCGAAGGCTTCAACCCTCAAAAAGACGTTTCTCTCCCTGAAATCTACCTCTACGGCGGCAACGTCCCCTCCAAACTCATCTCACCCCCGCCACCCCAAACCCCACGTCCCTACCTGGGGTTCTTCGCCGGTGGGCTCCACGGCCCAATAAGGCCCATTCTCCTGGCCCACTGGAAAACCCGCGACGAAGACCTTCGGGTCTACGAATACCTCCCAGAAGGCGAAGACTACGCCTCCATGATGCTCAAGTCCAGGTTTTGTCTGTGCCCTAGCGGGCATGAGGTGGCGAGCCCAAGAATTGTGGAGGCCATTTATGCAGAATGTGTGCCTGTGATTTTGTCTGAGCACTACGCGCTGCCGTTTAGTGATGTGCTGAGGTGGGAGGCGTTTTCTGTTAGGGTTGAGGTCTCTGAGATTTGGAGGTTGAAGGAGGTTTTGATGGCGGTGCCAGAGGAGAAGTATAGGTGGCTTGTGGAGAATTTGAGGGTTGTGAGGAGGCATTTTGAGTTGAACCAGCCGGCTAAGAGGTTTGATGTGTTTCATATGATATTGCACTCTGTGTGGCTCAGGAGAATTAACCTTAGACTAGCCTAGATTGTTTTATTTCATTTATATATGGTGCACTTAAAAAACATTATATATTACATCGCTACTGATTATATTGCCGACTAAATCTCTTACATAAATTACATATTTGGAAGAAGAAGAAAAACTTGATCAACAATGCAATCAGTAAATGTGGTATAAATAGTTTTGTTCATTACAATATGTATTTACGTACGTGTAATAGGTTGAAGCCAAAACTACACACACTTTAAGAACACCTGACACAAACATTGTTTCACATATATACAATTTCTACTTATTGATAAAGAAAAAAAAAAGGAAAAACAATTGTGCTTAACGTTCATGTACAAAATCATCCAAGTAATAGTCCTTAGCTTATAAGTCACTGGTAAATGGCATTTACACAATTGATCTTTAAAATTATTATTTACAACCCTAGAAATAATAGGGTTCGATATCTATATATGTACAGCCCTAGAATTAAATTGCCTATTGTCTACGTATGTACATGAATTCAAAATTAATATTTTTTAATTTTAATTTATACACGTTCATATAGTATACCACTACTTGATCTTAGCAAAATTGTTGGACAAACGCTCAAGTTGAGATTTTAGCATGTCTCCAAAATTAGAGAGAGGAGACGGCCTTTCAGGTGAGCTTGGTCTTATCCGTGTGTCATTCTTGACTTGAACGTATATTGGATTTGAACCCATTAATTCCCTTTTCATCGACTCAACAAAGTCCATGTCTACTACTTCATTTCCTGAAATGTCTCTCACATAGAAGGCGTTTATGGACTTCTCTCCTTGAGTTGCTACATCTGCTCGAACAACGACAAGCCCATTCTCTCGTAGAACCCTAGTTATATCAGAGAGTAACCCTATCCTATCATCCGCACACAGTTCTAGCCGAATCCCCTGTCAAAATATATATATATATATATATATAGAGAGAGAGAGAGAGAGAGAGAGAGAGAGAGAAACAAATTAATGTTGTTGCTTATAATTATTATTCTATTACTTATATCACATTAGTAGATCACATCTTTTATCTTGTAAAAATAGACAATACTTCACCTCAGAAACCCGACGCTCTATAGCAGCCTCTAAGCATTTTATAACTCTTTCTTTCTCGCTCTGAGTACACAAGGCATCCCCGTCGATATGTCGGATAAAATACTCCTATGAAAACAACATTAGTTAATAAAGCCCCCCATATCCAATTTAGTCACCTTGTTCATCGTTTCTCAAAATGAGACTCACTTACTTACCGCTTAAATAAAACAAGTCAGACTGTACATCTATTAATTACTATAGAGAGATAATCTACTAGAGAATCAGTACCGAACGACAATGTAATCAATAAATATGTACAAAATAAGAGACATCGTGAGTGATCAAGAATATATGAATATGTACCTGAAAGGCATAACCCTCCTGGGCACTTGCAGAAGCATGGAAGATCACATACTGCAAGTCAGTGAGAGTGCACACAGTATCAAACATGAGCCTCCGCCGATCCTTACACTCAATACTCACCATAGAATACCCCTTTTCCTCACAGCTCTCAATCCAAACCACCGTCTTCCTCCCCTCCCCCTCACTGTACAACCCCAACGGCGTCCTAGGCGAGCTTTGGGGGCCGTCATTGGGCCCATCAAAGTCCCTGATAGAAAGCATGAGCTGGTGCAACCTCCTCTCTACATTGGTGCTCATGGTTCCTTGATGAACATAATTATGATCTCCTGATCCCAAGAGCCCTATTGTCTTTACTTCTTGTTGGCTATTATTGGGTTCCTTCCCGCACGGGCTGAGGGCGGTGGTGGCACGGAGGACGGTGATGAGGTGGTCCTCGATGGTGGCGAGGCGGTGCGGGTTGTGGTCTGTCGATTGGTCGGAGATTTGAGCTACACAGGCGAGGCGGGCGTTATGGCTCCATGCATGGGCTTCTACTATGTTGCAATGGAGGTCAGCTAGGGCAGCGGAGATCTCGGAGAACAGACCGGGCCGGTCTGTTCCGGTCATTTCGATGGTGGTGTGGTCGGTAGGGTTTGTGGGTGAGAATAAAGTTGGGTTGTTATTTGTATAGGCCTTGGCTGAGTCCGGGGTGCCTGTGCTTGTACTTAAGGCCTGCATCATTAGGTCAGAGTTAATTAAGCGTGTTAGTGTTGACATTGTGATGATATATATGCAAAATTCATTTATCAAGGCCTCTCTACAAAATTCAATAATATTAATTAACTAAACTCATTGATCATGAAGAAACCTAATTATATATAATCACCTTCTGGATATAGTTGATGACTTTCTGGTCTGTAAGTTTGTTGCCGTGTTCATCTTTCACATGGAACACTGCAAATTCAAAGCATGCGCGCAAATTATTATTGGTCATAAAATATTGATTATTTTATTAAATAAAAGTAATTGGATTGATTGAATCATACAAATATATTTGATATATTTACCATCCATGAACCATCCTGCATCAGAAGAAATGTAACTTTTAGTGATGGTGAGGTTCACGTCTGTCAATACTTGCACCACTTCGAGGAGAAGCCCTTGCTTGTTCACGCTATCCACCTGCACCACATCATATATTATCATGACCTTCATCATACAAATATTTGGCTGGATTAATTAACTAATTTATTTATAATTAATTTACAAACCTTTACTATTGTGCAATCTTCCCAGGTTTCGTTGTCAATGCATACTCTACACCTGCAAATCAATTAAGCTAAATCAGAAATGCAACTCCAGCCTCCAGGGCTCATGAGACTGCCAAAGGTGAATCAAAAGCAGGGTTCAAGGGAATTGGAAATTTCGATCACTTACGTAGGGCCATATATCCTCTCTGGGAGATTATCAAATTCAGGATCAAAGTAAGGCCAACAAATTTTCTTCATGCTGCACATGCCAGACAGACACAGAGGGAGAGAGAGAGAGAAGGTCAAAACATGAGGCAGGAATAATGAGTCAAAAGATCCCAAAAATGGATTTGAGGCTGTAAAATAAACTTAGATATATATAGCTGACCGCAAATTTTGGCAAAACAACTCAACCACATGCTTAAATGGATATGGTCAAATAATTGTTAGAGCAACTACAAACACGTTTACTACAATTAATGCAACAATTTCGGCCAAACTGAAGAGCAAAAGTGAGACAATTTCCAAACAAATTTAAAGTGAGATTATCTGATCATCATATTTGTATATCCAAGTTCCAGATATACATATATGACCAAGTAGCTAATTTGACTTGCAATGGGTTTTGGTTGTAAAATTGCATTCATTTTAAAGAAGAAGCAAAAGCTAAAATGCTCAGGTGAGGTAACAGCAGCTTACACAGGTAATGTAGTGGCTAGTAGTGGAACAAGCTTAGTGCATGACCAATTTGCCCAGCAATGCCAGAGAGAGAGAGAGAGAGAGAGAGAGAGAGAGAGAGGAATGGAGAGAATCTCAGTTCTCTCTCTTGACAAACAAATGAGGTTTAGCTTATGAGCAGCAAATTAATTAATCTCTCAATAAATATATATATATGCAAGAGAGAGAGAGAGAGAGAGAGAGAGAGAGAGAGAATTGCTGGGTTCTGGCTGGCGGTAACTATTTTGGGTGATTGTGAAATGAGGGGTGGGATTAGCTTAAATAGGTTGGCAAGTTTATTTGTTTGTGTGTGGAGAAGAGATGAGTTCGAAGACAAATCGTACAAAAAGTATAATTTTCCTAGTGCGGGAGGGACACGTAGAGAAGTCAAATGAGATTTATCAGGCCACGTTTTATTTTGATTATTTCTTCTCCCACAATTTGATCATAGATAGACCTCTTTTATTTCCACATAATTTCCTACCTTCTTGGATCCCTCCCTTCTTCCCTCTTCTCGCCACGGAAACCCACCTGCAAATAACTGACACACGTCACCAAATTATGTCACAAATTTTAGTCTTCTCTCTTTCTCTCTCTCTCTCTCTCTCTCTCTCTCTCTCTCTAGATGCATGCGATGAAATAGCAAAGCTTATGGATGGAGTGTTTCTTTTGTTTAATATATATCTATTTTCACCTGTAATTTAACATAATAATAATATGATACAATAACGAAATTTACGGTAATGCATTTTGACATGGACCATTGACTTTCTGCGGAAAATAGTTAAGTAATATGTATCTGTATATTTGATTGTTAGTGAGGTGTCAACAAAATTATGATATGCACGAAGCAAATTACACAAATATTTTCCCATCACGTAATTAAGATGGGTGTGTCATGTCAACAACAAATCCACGCGGTTCAAATGTTCAAATTGATATTGTGCACTTTTAAAGGGGCCTGAGGTTGCATGTAAAAATTTTGTTTTCCTTTTTATCAATGTGGCAAAGTTGGCTCCATTTTCTTCTTCTTTTGTTTTTTGGGTTCCAAAGTAGTTAATTTAAGTCTGTTTCCTAACCCTCACGGTACGCTAGCAGTTTAGTCAAAGATAACGCAAATCGATCCCGTCTTGTGATAATCATTATCCGGCTGAGTCATACCCTAGCCTTCGATTTCTTTACTTTCAAGGAAGAGGGCCCCATACAGCACAGTAGTTTGTGTTCCCTGGCCTCTTCTAGGGCTAAAATGTACGTGAAGAAAGAGACAGACACAAATGACATAAAATGTGCCGCCCAGATGTTTAATCGGGGGCATTGAGTGATTGATTTCCTTTCAGGCTGAGATTGATCGAATAGTTGGTTTGCCTCAATGACAAAACAGATAAAACTGCCTCACCCTTGAAAGACCATAAATTTAAGTGGAGATAAAAGAAGTTAAGAGATAAGCTTCAAAAAATAAATTGAACACATAATTAACAAAAAATTTCAAAAAGCCTATACTTAACTTTTAAGGGAAAAAAGAAGGGGGGCAAATGAGTATTGGCATTTGCAACTGTTAGTTCTATTGGACTCCCTCATAGCCTACCTATGCCTTGCATCTTTCATCATCTTATTCCTTTTTCTTTTTCTTTTTCTTTTTTTCTATCCCACTCGGTTCCAACAGCTCAAACAGCCAAAATGCCAACAAGTAACTCAAAAAAATAGCAATTTCACCCAACTCGATTGGGCGAACAAATGCCTTCATGGGCACGGAGAGAGCTATGACCCCAGGATCTAAGAATGGTTGAACCAGGGTCCAACAGCACCATTCACATGCCCATTGCTATGGATCCCAACACCATTTGGGATGAGTGAAGGAGGCAATCCGACAGCCATTTGGGGCGGTGTCGCAGGATATAACCCATGATTGTGTTGGAGGGCATGAGGGCTCACGAGAGGACTGCCGGCTGGACTGCTTTTACGCTGCTGCTGAAGGGTATGGATCTGCCTGAGCCCTTCTTCATGAATGCGTGACAGCGTCTCCAACTCCTTCATTGATAGAGCTTCCAAACCAGCCCCATACAGAGGAGCATGCCGGGACATTTCTTCCTGAAGTGAAGCCTCGAGGGTGTGAATATATTGCTGCAAGATATAAGGTCGCATCAATCAAACCACATTCTGATATTCTTATGGTAAATCAAAATACGAAGCTTAATTCAGTAAGCACCACAACTAGCTGCATCTGGTGATAAAACAGATCACTAGAAGACAAAGAGGAAGATAATGGTGAACATGAGAAAGAAGGGGGGAAAAGTATTGGCTATATTGAGGCAAAAACCTGGCAGGCCTGCAATTTTGATTCCATCCCATCGATATAGGCTTCACACCGAGCAACTTGCTCTTCCTTCTCCCGTTTCTCTCCTTCCGTTTGTCCCACTGTTTGTGTCAACTGCCGTACTTCATCCTCAAGAGACTGCCGAATTTCCTCTCGGGTAACATTCTCTGTGGCATACCGTTTAAGTTCTTCGTCAAATCTTTTACGGGCAGCTTCAGCGCTCTTCAACCTTTCGGCAAGAGCATTTTTCTCCTTCACCACTTTCTGTCACATTCATCAATTGCAGTTAGAGAAAGGCATGGCTTGACACAAAAGCAAGACACAAAAATCAAACCAAAAAAAAAAATTGTATCATAGAAAATTTTTGTATATAAAAAAAAAAAGTCATTAAATAGGTATGGTCACTAACATTATTTAAACATGCAGATCCACAGAGTAAATACTTTTCGAATTCATTGCCAAAACATGATCCATAAATAGCAAGAAGAACCCACTAGTGAAGGATCCAAAATCACAACTCATAACAAGATGTCAAGACGCAAAAGTTAAACCTCAAATGGCATGCATACAAAACTTGAACAGAAGTAATAATAAAAAAAATAAGCCTGACATTAAAACCTAAAAGCTGATTGCTGGTGCATCAAATGACCAGAGATGAAAACAAGAAGAAAAGACTTATGGAGAAAAATATCAATTACATAAGAACGCCAACTATGTAAAAAGGCTGAGAGGTCATCTTAGATGACACGAAAGAAAAGCAATTTATACCTTCAATTCATCACGTTTTCGGGACTTCAACTGAGAGATTTGTGACTCTGCATCATGAAGACGATCCTGAAGCACTTTCCTATCTGTAGTGAGCTTTCTGATTTCATCGTCCCGCTCGGAGCGATGCCACTCAAGCTGACTCTCAACGTCTTGTATTTGTTCGGAAAGTTCCTTCTTTTCACGAGCGAAGCGGTCAATATCAGCCTTCATTTCAGACTGCCACATCATGACATGCATCAATTCTAATATTCCCCGAAAAGAATAAACAAGATGCGATAATCCTAGCCATATCACCAATTAAGACAACAAGTACCTTAAGACGATTGATAGTAGCCTCAGATTCACTCAGTTTTTGCGATATAACAGCTTTTTCCTTAACGATATTAGCATTTTCTGCCTTCCTTTCTTCACGCATGCGAATAATTTCATCTTCACTGGCACATAACTGGTGCCAAAGAGCAGCCCGATCAACATTTGCAAGTTCAGCAACCTCCCGCATCATACTCAAAACTGGTCTAATAATTTCTTGCTCCTCAGAAGCCAAAGTCACCAATATATCTAAATCTAGGTCAACTTCACGGCTACTATCTGTTGTGCTAGTAGCTCGGTCAACAAGTCTCTTTAGCATTCGCCCTCGATAAGACTCGTCAGCATACCATTTAAATAATAATGTATACAGCATCTTCACAAATCCCTTAACACAAAGATCTCTAGAAAGGGCCAATGTCTCAGCAAGGCCAAGAACTGAAGTAAAATCGTCCCGTTGGACTCTCAGCTGTTCATTGGCTTCTCCCTCCACTACAGCATCTGGCTGCTGGAAATTATCTGCAACAAATCTAGCATCAAGATTCAATCTTTGAGCAAGGCGCCTTTCTAAAACCATGGCCACAGAATGAGCCACAATGGCACCACGAGCTACAGCTCTCTCAAATGTTTGCGAGGCTTCAACAGCAAGACAAGGGATAGATAACATCTCAATCAAGATGTAAATGTCAGAAAAATGACGACTAGCACGGAAAGCCTTCTCATCCACCAAATGAAACCGTTCAGAACTAGGTCCATGTTCACCAAACAAGAAAAGACCAGAATGCAATGTCGAGCAACTGTCGCCCATATCATCATCACAATCAATATCTCTAAGTATGGTTTCAGCAACATCTCCCCAGCTATTTACAGTTCTACTCAAAAATTCAAGAACACAAGGAGAAACATCGACACCCAAATTCTTTAGCCTAACACGAACTGATCTGACCTACAATGGTGAACAAAGAAGGTTAAATATGCTTAGAGAAAAGCACGTCAAAACTAGAGTAAAATAATATAAAGGGGTCTTCTTCTTTTTTTTTTTAATAATTCTACTAGGAATAATATAATAAAGTACTTCCAATATTCAGAATAAGTTATATGCATACCGCTTCAGGGAGGTGTTGGCACTGGGATGCAGCTTTAAATATAAAATCTATAGTTGCAGCAAGCGGCTCATCATTTGAATCTGACAAAAACTCAAGAGATTGAGATAAAACTCGTTCCCAAACTTCACTGCCACAGTCCAGTTGACTAAGAGCACCAAAAACCTGGGAAGCAAGATAAGATAACTTAAAGAAGAATAATGTAGTGAGAGACTAAGTTGTGCAAACGTGCACAGACTAGCTATACCGTTTTCCAGAAGACATATTCCAAAGATGCTTTTGTAAATAGATATTTAACTCATCCAGGAAAAGCATATTAATCTTGGGAAAACAATAAGTAAATGAATAAATGGATGGGACTTCTGAGGAAATCTTACAGGTGTCCGCAATGCAGGCTCTGCATCTGGCTTTTGAAGTCGTTCTATAAGTGCAAAAGCAGCAAGTGGATGCTCTGAGTGCTCCACCAACTTAGGCACCAAAGCAACTAGATCGGGTTGCAAATGCTTAGGAGCTTTATCCAGTACAAGAGAAATCTTCTGTGCAGACTGAGGTCTACGTCTTGGTTCAGGGCAGCCTTGTGGAACAGCTCCATCAAGAGCTCTTAGTGAGTTTACAATCAATCCTAAGAGCTCCTCAGATTGCTCTGGCCACTTGGTCTAATTTTCAATT